TTTATTTATTTATTTATTTTTATTTTTTTGGTAGACAATCAATTTGTGTATATTGGACGCTTACGAGAGTAATATTCATATATGCCAATAATTGAATAAATCCACGGAATTTATTTTTATTTTTTTTAAATGAAGAAGTAACCTAACCAGTCCAACTTCATACATAAACTCATGGAGCTCCCAATTTCAGGAGAAAATTATCCCATCATGGAGCTCTTACTTTCAACCTCTTACTCACCAAAACATGGACCCCAACTTCTGCTCCTATGTCGTCCTGTCTTTTTCTCCTTCATTTTTTTATGGGTTACGCTAATAAGGAGGAAATAAATGTAGTTTAATTATTTATTTATAGAGTGGTACCCTATTTGGAATGTGATTGCATGGCTAATCACAATATGGGTGTGAGTTGTGAGTTCAGTACAGTACGTGCAAGCACAGTAAATTAGGAACATCACTCCTAATTTTTTATGCTTTATTTGGTGAATTGGAATGAGATAGAATAAAATTATCATTTCCTTATAAAACAAGGATTGAGCTTGGGTGTGCACTAGAAACTATCAGCAACTTTATTATTTATTTATTTATTTATTTATTTGGGGGGGGGGAGATTATTGTTGACTTTTACTCCCACGTTCAGTATTATATGGTTGTGCAAATTTGTTTATCTTGAAAAATACACGACATTTGATTGATTCATTTTTGTGTTTTTGGTGGGACCACCTCCATGGTTCAATTAATGATATTTTGTGTATTGTTAATATGTGTGAATAAATTTGCACTCATATTAATTATGATAGTTTTATTTTATTTTTTTAATCAACAAGTAAAATCTCTATTGATGAAATCAACATTACAATAATGATAGTTCCAATCATCATGTGGTAGGAATTTCTGTTGTACTCTTTCAAATGTATGATAGTATACAATTATTTTTTGTTTTATGTTTTAGGCAAATTAATTGTGTAGAGGTAGATATGGAATACTCTTTCAATCTAAATAAATCCTTGGATAATCTTCTTAGCTGTCACCTGAAATAGAAATAAAATTCCGGAAGATGGTGCCGGAATTAGCACTCTGACAGACAAGTTAGTATCTATAGAAATGTTGGTGTTTTATGGTTTCTTGAGGTTCAAGATTCTTGGCACATGTGCAAATAGTGGGCTTCTCTCCACCTTATATATATATATATTCTCTTTGACATTTTCTCTATGTAGCCTAGTCCTTCATCATTACTCTGTCAATACCCATCTCCCTACCACACTTTTATCAAAAGAAAGGATAATCTGGATTCACCTGACCTAGTTAAGCCGACTTCCCCGATACACTTAACCTTATTGCTCAAGTGCCCTTACTCGACATACTCTTCATATTACTGTATATATTCGGCAATGCCTCAATGTCTGAAGGGCTTGGGTTTCATTTAGCCCATCTGAGATAAGTTTGGTTGTACTTTGTTTGTTTTACTTATAAAGATGTATGTTTAATGAAATATATTGGTAATAAGTACTAATTATTATTTTAGAAGATAATTTTTTTTTCCTTTATTTATTTTTGACTAAATTGGTGATAAATCCAATCTAAGGAGGGTATAAGGTATTAGGTCCAGTGGATTTTTTCTTTTTTTTTTTTTTTTTGCTAATGGGAGGTCCATGCTTTGTGCAATATTTTGGTGGGAAATCCAGGAGAATATTTTGTTTTTAATTTTATCCCTGGACTTTTTTTATCTATTTGACTTTTCATTGACTATCTGTTAAAATTATTTTTATCTGTTAAAATTCCTATTTGTTCAAATTTTGTATTGTTCAAATTTCTATCTGTTCAAATTTTTTTATTTGTTCAAATTGTTTATCTGTTGAAATTCTTATATGTTGAAATTTTTTTATTTGTTGAAATTTTCTTTTTTTATCTGTTCAAACAGCAGATCATCAGCAAAGAAACCTTTCACTTTCGGATTCAGATCTAGCTAATTGCTCATCAGAGACCTCCATTGAAGACTTGGTGTTCTCATTGAAACCATCAGATTAATAAACAATGGATCCAAAACCATAGAAATTTGAAATAAGAAAGATAGAAGAGGAAAAAGATGCAAACACACTGATCTGTTGATCAACAAATTGAACAGATGCAAACATACTGATCTGCTGATCAACAAATAATCCCTCTCTCTCTCTAATCTTTCACAGACACGCTTCAACCTTTTCACAACAATTCAAGCTTATCGAATCCTTTTCCGAACAATCCATTTTCAACTTCTAACCACAACTCTCTCTCTCTCTCTCTATATATGTGTGTGTGTATGTGTGTGTGCGTGTGTAAAGATGTGCAATTTGAGGCTTTAATAATAATCTTGTAGAGTTCTTGAATCAATATAGTTTTCTTTGTTGTTTTAGATATATAGCTCGATTTGTGTATGCCTTGTGGTTTGGATTTTGAATATAGAACATGAACTGCGAGTTAGCTTTCACATTACAGACTCAGTATGAGTTCGGTGGTTCGCTAGGTTGAACTCGAGCGTTCGCTAGGTTGAACTCGAGCGTCGAAGGTTTACACTTGGAGTGTGGATTTGAATCGAGTTTGGGAAGATGGAAGCAATAAAAGGTTCAAGGGTTCTGAAGTAAAAAAGTCGGATTCGAATGGTGAGATTGATGGATGTCAATCTTGAGATCAAAATCAAGAGACAATTTTGTGACGGTAGAGGAGATCGGCGACTGCAGAGACGAAGGCACTAGTGCGAAGGGGAGAGAGACAACTAGTCCAGATCAACGAACGGAGGTGTGGTGTTAGCAGCTCCTCTGAGTTTTGCAACAGAGGTGTGGTGTCGTCGATGGTTGTCATAAGTAGAGAGAGAGAGAGAGAGAGAGAGAGGATGTCTAAAAACCACTACCGTGATAGAGGGAGGGAATGCAAAAGGAAGCGACGGAGGCAGTAGTGGAGCGGCCGTGAGAAAGGGATGGGAGGCGAGCAGCGAAGGCGAGCGGTAGCGGCAGCGACTTTGTCACAATAGTTAAGTAGAGATAGAGAGGGGAGGCTAAAAAAGGGAAAATTTTTTAAGGTCTCTGACATTAAGATTTTATAAGATAAAAGATATACAATATTTTCATAGTAGTTAAGATTCCTTAATATTTTTATAGAGAAAATTAAACTTAAAGAAATTTCGTCTGACTCAAAAAAATTTTAACCCCAACACAAAGAAATTTCAATTTTTACAGAGAAATTTTAAAATTTCTCTGTAAAATAAAAGAAATTTCTCTGTGAAAATTAAAATTTCTCTCAGTCGAGACAAAATTTTTTTGAGTCGGGACAAAATTTATTTGAGTCGAATTTTATCTGTGAAAATGTTGACGGACCTTAACTATTATGAAAATATTGTATGTCATTCATCTTATAAAATCTTAATATTAGGGATCTTAAAAAAAAAATTCCCTTAATAATATCATAGATCATGACTATTTTAAAATTTGAAATATATAAAATTATAATGTTGATGTGAAAAATATAAAGTGATAGAAACAAAAAATATATTACATAGCAATCCAATAAAATTTGATGTAAATAATTAATCAACAATGCTAGAAACTTCAAAACTTTTACTTCTCCAGTCTCAAAATATTAGTCTCAAACTTTTACTCCAAAACTTTACAATTATTACACTTTAAAAATGTTAAATTTTTAAAATTATCCTTTGACTTTTTATTGGAACATCAATTGTCATAATTAATAAATTTAAAAGAATAACAAAATAAAGTGATATTTTAGTCTTTAATTTTTGAAAATGGACTAATATTTTGAAACAATAAAAAATAGAATAGAAAATTAATATTTTGGGTTGAAGGGATTACAAAATTTTACCAGATTGTGTGAAATCCCATAAGACTCATATGATGCGAATCTTATATCCATATAAAATATTTGATAAAAATTATAAAATCTCCAACATTTTTCATAATCAATTCAAAGATACATCACATCAGTAACACAACGTAACATACTGTAACATACCATTCTCGTAGCATCGCCATTTTGATTTTCACGGTTGAAATTGCTCTGAAACGTGTAAACTTATCAAAGTAGTGGTACATAAACATAAATACTTTTAAAAAAATAATACAAAATGATATGAATGTCTTGGTTTTATCTTTAAAAAGATAAAACAATCTATCAAGACAGTTTATATATTCCAACCACGAGACTTCTCTTCAAACCACTTTAAAGGTGCGGTTAGGATATGTGATCTATTAGAGTCTTATTTTGATAATTTAAATTATAAATAAATTATATTGATAGTTTTTGATATTTTTGTTTAATATAGATTTTTCCTTCACTTTTGAATAATTATATTCTTTTTCTTGAGATTTGTAATCTTATTATAAATTATTCCTGTATTGCTGATATCATGCTCCAAAATTTTTTAAATGATCATTTTGTCATTTTTTTACCATTTCTTCTTCCTATCATCATGACTATATTCTATAATTTTTCATCATTAAATTCTACCTAAACATATTCTTATTAAGTGATGATATATAAACATAAATTTAACACAAAATTTGCAAACATAATGACATAGTTTAATGGTGATCTTCCACTTTAAAACAAAACACTCATAAACATGATTTATATTTACAACAATATCACTATTACAACATTTTTATGATATTTTTTGTATACATGTTTATATATGAAGAGAATTTTTCATTTTTATTTTCACCATCATTTTTTTTCTTGTCTATTCACCCATATTTAATATAGTATTACCAAATACCGTCATTTACATTTATTACAATATTACTGATTTTTTGTAATTTTGTATTTTTTATATTTGGTGAATATAAAAAAAAAATCACAAAATATTATATTTCTTAAGAATATCTCGATTAGGCGTATCTAAAAATAAAAATAAAAAAATTGTTTAAGATATTAAAAAAATTCAATAAAAATAAAATAAAAATCAATTTTTTTTGTGAGTTAAACCAAAGAAGATGATTGTTATTTCTCTTGAAATGACATGAACAAAATATCATAATTATTTTATTATTTTATATGTATAAAGGTTAAGGGGCAAATATGTCATTTTAATTTGACAAGAAGTAAATGCAATTTTTCAAACGTGAAGGAAGATTTGTATTAAAGAGAAATCTTATGGAGTTAGTGTAATTTTTCAAACGTGAAGGAGGATCTGTATTAAAGAGAAATCTCAAGAGAGGTAAATGCAATTTCAAACGTGGTTTAGACCCCTACTTACCCCACCCCCACCACCCCACACACACACGTGGGGTTGGTGATTGGAAGAGAAAAAATAAATAAAAATAAATAAAAATTCCTAACCAATTAGACCCCATTGGGAGTCCTAGGCTGGGGTCACTCCCAGTAGAGGTCTGAAACATTTTTTATGTAATTTATCCTTAAATTATTTATTTAATTTGATTATATGTATATTGTTCACGGAAAACAATTAAATTAATCATAACAAAACGTGTTTTGATAATATTTAAAAGTTATTTGCAATGAACTATATAAATGTAATTTTTAATTTTTTAAGTAAAGAAATAGAGGAAAAAATATGATTACTTATGATAATTTTATAACCTTTTATAAAAAAAAATATGTATTAAAATGTTATATAAAATAACAAAATTATTTTTTCACCCACATGAGTACCGATGTGCCATCCGTGCATGTCAGGTTTTGCGATTGATATCATGTGTGCACTGGTTTTGTTGGATTATTTATTTATTTTTTTTTTGGCACCCGTGAGCATGGATTATTTTGAAGAATGAGTTAAAAATTACTTTTTAATTTTTAATTCATTTCTCTTTTTTATAAAAAAATCAAAAATAATTAAAAATAATTTTTAACAACCTTTCAAAACACCCCTATATTGTTTTGAACAGAACCATATGGCAGTGAACTTTTTGTACAAAAGGGCAATTGTGTTTTTTTTCCTTTGACTGGTGAACTTTTTTTTCACCAAAACTTTTGTGAATAGCGTTAGTTTTTTTATTTTTTAAATAATTTTTTAATTCCTTATCTTTTTTTAAAGATTCCAAATGCTCAGACACTTTAAAATGAAGTGTTCATTTTTTCATTTTACATATAAATTTGAAAGGTTAGGATTGCGTAACTAATCTTGTATTATTTTATTTTCTTATATAACTAACCTATTCATATAGTCAAATGAAATATTAAACAATTCAAATAATCTTATCAAAAATTTCTGTATAAAACATGACTATCATTTTTCAGCATATAAACCATAAACACCACACACACACTGCTATTGCTAGAGAGAGAGAGAGAGAGATGGAGGGAATAGAGCACAAGACAATCAGTGTAAATGGCATAAACATGCACATAGCAGAAAAAGACAAAGGTCCAGTGGTCCTCTTCCTCCACGGCTTCCCGGAGCTCTGGTACTCATGGCGCCACCAGATCCTCTACACGGCGGCGCACGGCTACAGAGCGGTGGCGCCAGACCTCCGAGGCTATGGCGACACCACCGGAGCACCACTCAACGACTCCACCAAATTCACCGCTCTCCATCTGATCGGAGACATCGTTGCTCTCCTTGACAAAATCGCACCTGATGAAAACAAGGTGTTTGTTGTGGGGCATGACTGGGGAGCAGTTTTGGCTTGGTATTTGTGTCTTTTCAGACCTGATCGAGTCAAGGCTTTGGTGAATTTGAGCGTTCATTACCTTCCTAGAAACCCTACGATGAGCTCCGTCGATGTGTTTCGAGGATTTTATGGCGATGATCACTACATCTGCAGATTTCAGGTTCTCGTTTTCACTCTGTTTGGATTTTGAGAGTTGAGTAGAAATCTGTGGAGGGAGAGGAGAAAAAAATGATTGAAAAAGTGCAAATTTTGTAACATATGTTACTTTATAACTTAAAAAAAAAAATGATATGTTTTTATATTTTTTAAGTTATAATTAAAAAAATAATAATAATCAAAGATCTTGTAACTAGGGTACATACATATGGTATTATAGAACTTCCTTCGTAACTTTTTATATGTGTTTTGTATTTTGGAATGATTATTTTGATTATACAAGTTATACAATTTAAGATAAAACTCACCTCAAAACTAGCTATTAAGGTAAGGGTGGTTTCACTTTTCTATGTTTAATATTACTTTAATATTCAGGCAGTGTAGAATTTCGTTTCAATGATACTGATTAATTTATCAATTATTTTGAGAAGTAGGTTAAAAATTAATTTTTCGACTTTTTTTTTTATAAAAAAAAAAAAACGTATAAAAAATAGAGAAATGATGTGACTTTTCTAAAAAATATTGGGATATTGACTTTTATTTGTAAGTTTTAATTTATTTTTTTAGTTTATTTTCATTAGTTTCTATTGAAATATGATGTGAGAAGTATAAATAATTGAATTGTAATTTTTTTTTAAATATTTGTATAATGATAAATTTTTTTGGTATCCTTATAATGATAAATTTATCATTGAGAGTTAAGTAAGATTTTTTGGTAAATAAATCCAATCCAAAGGACCAATTGGTAATTGTCCCATTTTTTATATTACCAAACTCGTTTTTTTTTTTTTAAAAAAAAATTCAAATCCAAGGACTTTTTGAACTTATTTTATAATTCTATGTTGTTTTTTAAAAACACGATTTCAATTAATTTATTATAAAACTATTTAAAATAGTGTTTTAAAAACTTAAATTTGAAAATTTAGTTTAGAACAACTTATAATTGGGAAATAGTTTTCAAAAGAACTTGAATTTGGTAAATATATTTATCTAAAGCTCGGATTCTTAAGTTGTTGTTTGGGTGAGAAATTGTCATACATCATAAAAGAATTGGAGAATTTGAGGTCTTATCTAAATTAAAAAAGAATTGTTGTAAGTACCTGGAGAAATTGAAGCGGAGTTAGCCCAAGTTGGCATAAGAAGATCTATCAAGAAATTCCTAACAAACCGTGATCTCGCTCCATTTTTTTTCCCTAAAGGTAAAGGATTTGGAGATGGTGATTCACCTGATACTCCAATTATCTTGCCTTCTTGGTTGTCGGAAGAAGATGTCGATTACTATGCTGTCAAATTTGAGGAGCATGGATTCACTGGAGGAGTTAACTACTACCGAGCTTTAGATCTGTAAATTACCTTTCAATTTTTCTTAACTTTGAGATTTAGTAATGTCTTAATTATGATAATTTATGGAAGACATAACAATTTTCTATCACCATTGTGAAATTATCATAATTTTAGAGATTTTGCGTCTTCTTTTCATGTACATTTCCAAACTCATCTCCAATAGGGGTTTTCTCCAACCTTATCAGTCCAAGGATGCTTATGTAATGACCCTAGGTTATGCACATGGTTTTTAAATCACAGTATTAGACAGTGTAACGCTTATGAACGTATAGCGGTTAGCAGGATTATTAGCCAATGTATAACATGAATTGAAAACTAAACTTGTGAATTTTTTCAAGAACTAACAAATGCCAAAAAACTTATTGATATGTATATTCCAACTGTCACGCCCCGAAATAATTCAACATGAACCCCCAAATGAACAAACATTCACTATATAATGACAATAACTCTTCCATCTTCACATATATAATAAATGGGTTTAATACAAGGTTCCACATGCAGTATACATTCACAACACGAGAATATATGAATCTATAGCATGTGAAGCACCTAATCTCAAAATAATAAAATGCCCTTAAGGGCTTACATCTTCCAAGGCAATAGCCCGGTTACAAAAAAGTGGTCTTTCGGACCCATACATGTTAGCCCTTGGCTTTACAAAAAGAAATCACAACAAAAGAAGAGCCATGTGCTCTTTACAATTATCTGCGCCCTCAACTTGGCGGGATCACCACGTCCTTACCTGCACCAAATCCCATAGGGGTGAACATAAAACCCAGTAGAAAAATACCAAACAAAGTATATACATTTATGTTAGATGGCCAAAATTGAATGCAAGTGCAAATGCAATGCAATACTCTTTTCAAAATATTATTCATGACTTTCTTGAGAAACACCATGCACTTCATTTATAATTACAATCTCATCAATTTCAAAAATTAAACTTTTTAATCACAAGGGGCGGTAAATACGACACTGGTAATCCCTAGGCTAGTGTCTGCAAGTAAACTCTACGAGTACTACCAAACTGTCATTTTTACTGGTATTAACCGAAAGGCTCGACACCTATCCACGTAGTTTTCTGGTCTTTTACCAAGGACACTCAGGCCAACTTATCAAGTTCAACTACACCCCCTATTCGGACTTACCATGTATTTACCCCGTACACATTACCATTGTTCTCATTACAAGCTTTCTCATTTATGAAAAAAAAAAAAACATCTTCAATCCAAGTTTACGATGCATAAGATTAAATTAAATTAATTAAAAGGATATGCAACATCAAGATTTCTCCATGCCACACAACATTTCTCATTTCTTCTCTTCAATGCTCTTTTACAAGATAACTTACATGTTATCAACTCATAGTAACAACACTTTCCCATCATGCACAATTATTTGTTATTTCATAACAATACCAATTCAAAGGTTTAACAATAATGTTGAAACAACACCTCATTCCTCATGTATCAAATAATTTACCATTCTTGCTAAACATATGATGAAAATTCACTTTCTTAATACAAAACACATGATACTCATAAACGTATTCATATTTATCAAAAATTCCCAAAAATTCTCTAGGGTTTTATGTCAAAAACCAAGGCAAACCTTCTCTTCTCTTTTGAGAGGGTTTTCTCTCAAGGTGACATCCTCCTATTATGTGAGTAAAATCCTCTAGAAGATAGTTTAGGAAGAGAGAGATCAAAACCCATCTTTAACTCTAGCATTTATGAGACAAGACTAAACTTTCAATATCATTAATGGAGCTTTAAAATCAACCAAAATAAACATAAATGTATATATAACTCAAGGAAATTTCCCTACCTTAATGTTTGATGAAGGAATGAAGATAAAACTCTAACTTCAAAAGAAAGAGAGCTTGATTTCCACTACACCAAGTGAAGTTCTTGCCCTAGATCTTCAAGATTAGAGGAAGATGATGATGATGATCTTGACCCACAAATTTGCAAAATCAAGGAGTCTTAATGTGTGAGATTGTTTTCTAGAGAGAAGAGGGAGAAAATTAGGGTTTAGAGTGAGAGAGATGTGTAAAATAAGTGATACATTCGGACAAAAAAGACACAAAAAACAAGGTTTCGAGCTACCTAGATTGCCGTAGGTGCGGCGCCCTTTCCCGTACGTGCGGAGCGCCCTTCCCACACGTGCGGTCCTCACCCCCGCACGTGCCGGGATCCTCTCCCGCACCACTCTCCACTCGTGCATATATAGCAGTGAGCAAACCGGGCAAGCCCCTGAATTCCGCATGTGCGGCCTAGCCTCCCGCAAGTGCAGCCCTCTCCCGCACGTGAGGCCCCCTTGGATACCAGCCCAGAAATTTTAGCCCAACCTCTCGAGCACTCTAGACTCGGCCAAAAACCCTCAAGAACTTAGTGAAATCCAACACTGAACAAAACAAGAAATAGAACTTTAGTTAGGAACATCTTCCGAATGTTTCAAGCCCAACAAGAGTAAAAGAGAATGGAGCCAAAAGAATGAAAAGAGAAAAAAAGAGACTCGATCGTCACACCAACCTTATTTATCACAATTTGAATGTTTGTGATAGTTTTTAATTAAGATTGTGACATTTTAAATATGTTTAATGAAATATTATAGAATTCTATATTTTTTTTTATCAACAAAAATAAACTTTATTGAATCAGAACTAAGGATAAATCCTTTACAACTTATGTCAATAAAGATAGACAAAAACAGTGCTAATAACATCATAATGAGCCCTACTGATCCCAACTAGGTTAACACAAGAAAAGCCACCCAATCATGTGCTTACACTTGCCAACAGCTAGTTGAGGAGAATTCAACCAGCAGACCCACAACAAACAGAGACCAAAGCAAAGGAACAAAAACAACAGAAAGAAATAAAAGAAACTAAACACAATAAACCAAAGCAAAGACAAAAAACAACCACTTCACATTATAGAATTCTATATTGTTTTCAAGGTCCAAAAAAATGGAGAATTTCATGTAGTACAATTAGGCCTATCATAAATTGATGTCCATCGTGCCTTCTTCTTGTTCCCAGGTTTAAATATATTATTGTTGAGTTACCTATATTCAAGAGTGGTTGTTAAAAATCTCTAGAGATTTTAGCTTTTTTTTTTTTTTTTCTTTCCCTCTTCATTGCAGAAACTGGGAACTCATGGCACCGTGGGTAGGGTGCCAAGTGAAAGTGCCTGTAAAGTTTATTGTGGGTGACTTGGACTTGGTCTATAACATCCCGGGCGCCATGGAATATGTACATAACGGTGGATTCAAGAAAGATGTTCCGATGTTGGATGAAGTTGTCGTCATGGAAGGTGTAGCGCACTTTCTCAACCAAGAAAAACCAGATGAGGTCAACAAACACATTGTTGAGTTCATCAACAAGTTCTGATTTTCTTACCCCTTCGTCATGTTGTGTTTCTTGAAATAATAAGCTTGGCAGGCTATAGAACACAACTTAAGGGTCATTTGTTCACGTTTCTAATTTATTTTATTTTATTTTTTTTTTTTGGAAACTCAGCTACTCAAAAAATCTCCATTGTCTATTTGTCACAGTAATATTTTACTTTTTAATGGAGTTAGGATGGCAACGGGGAGCAATAAAGTAGATATTAATTTTCTATCTTTATTCCCTTATAATAATTTTTTTCCACTCCCTGTTCCCCATTCCCATGGATACTACCCTTCCATCCCCTAATGGGTTTGGAATTTTTTCCAACCCAATTTGACTTTCTTTTTTAAGATTCACAATCAAAGCTAAATATACATTTAATTTAATTTTAATTTATTTTTTGGTTCAACAACAAAATCAAATACACATTAATTAATTATGTATAGAAATAAAGAAATTATTGAATTGGAAGAGGTTTCAAAATCCAAACAAGTAAATCAAAGAGATAGAAAATTGACTTGAATATATACATATATAGCTATGGAAGAGTTTTCAAAATCCGAACAAGTAAAACAGTCAAATCCCTTGAATTCAACTTCGGAGATAGTAAACGTCCTTCCCAACGTCACAAATGAGAGAGAAGGAGAAAGTGAAAAAGAATTCTTTGGATTTGTGATCACTGCTCGCGAGATTCTAGCAACTATTAGCGATTTCAAAAAATGAAAAGTTTTGTGATTTACAGTTATATATATAGCTATGTTTGCATATATATGTGAAGGAATCAAGAATAATACCATATGGAGGAGAACATCTCGGTGTGGGTATACATGTATGTATCTATATATATATATATATTAACATATCACTCGTGTTATGCACGAGATAAAATAATATATTATTTAATAAAAATATGATAATTATATTTAATTTTTTGATATTATGTAAAATAAAAGTTAAATGGAAACTAGTCAATCAAGATTTTCTTAATTGTTTAAAATTAAGAAAATCAAAAAAATTACTATGAGATATTGATCATAAGAATTCTCACTAAAAAACTCATTTTGCTTATATAAATGGGAGTATAAGATTCACTTTATGTAAGTGAAACAATTCACTTTTTTCTTTTTCTCTCGATGTGGGATTATAAAATAAAAATTAAATGAAAGTTAACCAATGAAAATTTTCTTAATTGTTTAAATGTCAACAATTGTTTGGGTGAAAAGTTTATTTCGAATCAAACAATCTTAGTCATTTAATCTTTAATTAGGTCAATCTTTAATTTATTTCAAATCAAACAAATTTAACTAATATATTTTGATAAAACTGCTAAAATCGCAGTTAAACCAGTGAATTAGTCAAACCGAAAATGGTTCACCCTATCGGCTAGTTCAAAGGACCAACCAACTTATACAAAAATTAATTGATTTAAACTGTCTTGAACTAAAACATACACAACACTACAAATATTAAATGAGAGTATAAGGTCTGTATAGTGAAACAACTCATTTTCTCCTCCTTTTCCTGATGTGGGATTGTAAAATAAAAGTTAACAGTTGTTTGGACGGGAAATTCATTTCTAATCAAGTAATTTTAGTAGTTCAATTTTTAATAAGGTCAATCTTAAGTTATTTCAAATCAAACAAATCTACGCAATATGTTTTAATAAAACAACTAAAGCAATGGTTAAACTAGTGAATCAGTCAAACCGAAAACGATTTAGCCTAATTAGCTAAATCAAAAGACCAACTAATTTATAACAAAATAAATTAATTAAAACCTTTAAATTTTATTTTCAAATTTAAATCATCTTGAACTGAACCATGCACAATACTATAATATTAAATGAGAGTATAAGATTCACTTAACCCACTTTTTATTTCTTTTCTTGATGTGTGATTGTAATTATTTTAAAATTAAATATTATGAAAGTTTCAAAATCTCATACAAAATTATTTTTAAAATCAAAACTTCTATGTAGGATTGTATAATAAAAGTTAAATGAAAGATAACCAATAGAGATTTTCTTAATTGTTTAAAATTAAGAAAAAAAAATAGTATTAATTATAGTGCTTCTTACTAAAAAAAATTTTTTGCATATAAAAATGGGTGCATAAGATTCACTTTATACAAGTAAAACAATTTACTTTTTCTTTCTTTTTCCGATGTGAGATTGTAAAATAAAAGTCAAATGAATATGTACATTGGATTGCAGATTGAAACTGTGTTTGCAAAAGCACCTTCACATTACACTTTCACATAGCACGGGTGATATGCTAGGAGTATTGTACATGTGTTATTAAACACACAAACAAAAAAAAATCGGTATTGATTATATGGTTGCTTATATAAATTGAGCATAAGATTCACTTTAAATAAGTGAAACAATTCACTTTTTCTTTTTTCCCGATATAGAATTATAAAATAAAAATTAAATGGAAACTAATTAATGGGGATTTTCTTAATTGTTTAAAATTAAGAAATTTCAATAATTTATATAAATTTAAGCATAACGTTTACTTTATATAAATAAAACAATTCACTTTTTTCTTTTTTTCTTTTTTTCTTTTTTCCCAATTTGGGATTGTAAAATAAGATAAATGGAAGCTAGCCAATAGTAATTTTCTTAATTGTTTAAAATTAAGAAAATTCAATAATTTTAGAATAAGGGTTTGGACCTTCTAAAAGGTTTCTCCTTTAAAACTCTCTTTATAAGATTCATTTTATATAAGTAAAACAACTCACTTTTTCGTTCTTTTCCTTATTTAGGATTGTAATACTTTATATAAGTAAAACAACTCACTTTTTTTTTTTCTTTTCTCGATGTTGGATTGTAGTTATTTTAGAGTTAAATATTATAAGAGTTTCAAAATCTCATACAAATTTTTTTTTTTTTTTAAATCAAAACTATGTGAGATTGTAAAATAAAAGTTAAATGGAAGCTAGCAAATGAGATTTTTTTAATTTTTTAAAATTAAGAAAATCAAAAAAATAAGGAAATCAAAATCTCATACAATTCATTTTTTCTTTCTTTTTCCGATGTGGGATTGTAAAATAAAAGGTAAATGAAAGTTAGTCAATGCAAATTAGAGAGGCATAGTTTAGGTTGGTGAATTTATTATACTCGATCATTTTGTAGACTCATATGCATATTAAAAAAAAAAATCAAATTCATTCTAAAGTCATGTTCATATGATTTCAATGTATTTATCTTTAATAAAAATATATGATCTATTTATAAAATTATATATATATTTTATTTTAAAAAATTAAATATAATAAAATACGTGATTATAAATGATAGTTTCACTTAAAGTAAATCGAACTTTAATTTGTTTCTCATATGCATATTAAAAAAAAAATCAAATTCATTTTAAAGTCATGTTCATATGATTTCAATGTATTTATCTTTAATAAAAATATAATGATAATGATAGTCTCGTTCAAAGTAAATCGAACTTTAATTTGTTTAGAATGTTGGTAATAAAAATAGAAAACAAATTAAAGTCAATCAACTAACCTCTTCTTTCTCTTCGATATGTGTCTTGTTACATTGTCATCCATGTGGTCGTAATCGTGGAATTAACTTGCATGCATTTGGAACAAAATATTGTTTTAAAAATATAATTAATTATAGTCATGCAAGCAAGATGGATCCAATTGGAAGAGATGGGTGACAGCCTCCAAATTTCGAAACCCTTTTATTATAATAATAATAATAATAATAATAATAATAATAATAATAATAACATTAATTATTTAAAAAAAGCCTTTAAATTATATAAATTGGCCTCCTATTAGAGAGACATATTTTCACCATACAATTTGGTGAACCATCAACCTAAACTATGATAAAAGCTTCCAATCTAAACAATTCACTATATTCCAACCAAAACAATTCACTTTTTCTTTCTTTTTTGGATATGGGATTTTCAAATAAAAGTTAGCCAATAGAGATTGTCTTAATTGTTTAAAATTAAGAAAATCAAGAAAATTAGTATGAGATATTGAAACTCTCACAATGCTCCTCACTAAATGGGATGAGAGTATAAAAGCTTCCAACCTAAACAATTCATTTTTTCTTCTTTTCCCGATGTGAAATTATTAAATAAAAGTAATTATTTAAAATTAAGAAAATCAAGAAAATTAGAATGAGGGTTTGGAGTTCTTGGAAGGTTTCTCACTAAAAAGTCTATTTTCCTTATATATATAGATATGGTAAAATGGGCGGGTATCTATCTCTGACCCATCTCTGATGGAGATTTAAAGAACACCATTTACCCAACCCGACGGATAAAAAACAAGAGAAAATCCATGTATTTGGGTTGGGTCTCCATGGGCACTCATATGTTAGGTTATCCATTGCCATCCCTAAATGGAGTAACTGCTGAGGTATGAAGCATAGGTACGGGTACGAGTACTGATACTGATACGATACTAGTACATTGATACGATAAAATTCAAAAAACATAAGATACGACTACGCCTTGATATGCTTGTAAAAGAAAATTTATTTTTAATTTAGATTAATGCAAAAATTAATTAAATGGTTTGATTTGTTAAGGTCTAACCTACAATTAACATTTAATGTTAAAAGTAAAAGTATAAATCAAAATTAAATGTTAATATATTTAAAAGCTTATAAGCCATAGTTTAATTTTAAAATCATGTTAACCATAAAAAAATAAAAATAGAAAAGAAATCTAGTGAAAGGAGTTTTATCTGTGTAGTATAAGAAAATATTGTTTCAATTGAGATACGGTACGACTTGGGTGTACATCTGGGCACGCCAAAAATTAAGAAGAAAAATTTTGGATAAATATTTTGTGTAACCAGTACGTATGCATAAATACCATATGAGATACCATACGCTTGTAAGTACCCGGTACTGGTACGTCATATTTTTCGAAGTACCCATGTTTTATAGGTGCAGAGTAGACACAAGAATTACATCAGCAAAATTATATCAGAAATGGTCCTCTACACTTAACTTGGACCTGTGTTACCTATTTTTGTATATATTTTTTTAATATATATATATATATATATTTGTTACATATTCACCCAAATTATTGACGATAAAAAGAACTTGTGGGGGTATATTTTTGTGAATGACAGCATGTGGCCGAGGTGATGCCGACGTGTCAGCCAGAGTGCCACGTGGCTTGGTCATGTGAGAGATCATCTCGGCTAGGCCAAGGTTATCTTTGGAGATACCGGAATCCGAGATGAGCGAATAAGGGACAAAAGTCCTAGAATGGAGA